CAACAACAACAACAACAAAACTTTTGTTTATATCGGATAATACATCCAATACATGTTTACAAATTTAAGTGTACACTCCTCTTAAAACTCTCGAAGGGAAAATACAGATAAAAAATTAGCCAATCACAGTTGACCTCTAAATTACTATTAAGATTAAAATACTTTTAACCTCTAAAATTAATTAAACATTTTAAAATTAATTTGTCTGGAAGTTTCTGAGTCATAATTTCGATTTAGACATGTACGTTTTAAATAAAAAACCAAAACTATTTTGGGACTAAATTTTCAGTGTTAACTCCCTGCTCCTAAACTCATCGCGCGTGTTCAAGCCCGGTTTCTCTTTCCTGATATGTATTGCCTCTAGTGTTAGCAATTTTGTTTGGTTGTTTGACCTATCTATAATTTCCCAACTAAGATCTGCGCTATTTCCCTCAAGTTGGCATTGCTGAAGGTGGAGGCCTACCGGTGAGTCTGCTTTCCTATGTTCCTCAATTCTAGTGGTCAAATGTCGAACAGTTTGTCCGACATAGGTGGAAGTGCATCCACTACATGACAGTTTATAAACCACTCTTGACTTGAGGTCATTAGAAAATGCTGACTTCAGTGATGGTAAACATGATTGTAGTTTTCTTGTGGTGAAAACCACTTGAACGTTCGTTAATTTTCGTAACCTGTTAGCAAAATATTGGCTCTGGTTACCTCTATATTGCACCATCAGCATTGGGGGCTTTTCATCCTTTGGTGATTGAACTGACAAACCCCTGTCACTATCCAGGGGCTTGCCTTTACCCTCGATGATCTTGCACAAGGCGTCTGAAGCCACCTTCGCGGACCAATTTTCAGGGTACTGATTTGTCAGCCATTGCGCCCTATTAGTTTCCATAGCCTTATCAAATTGCTCCCAGCTAGATGTACTCCTAAAAACCCTGTGTACAGTGCCTTGGATAACACTACGCTTATACTGAGTTGGGGCGCAGCTTCTATATTTCAGTATAGTCCCTGTATCTGTTGGTTTTTGATACCAACTGCAAGTTACACGCCTATCCTGCGATATATTTATGTTCAAATCCAGGAACGGCAAATTCCCCTCTGAATTAGTTTTCTCTAGAGTGAACTGCAAATTTGGATGAAGAGAATTGGCGGCATCGAGAAGACGACTCGGCTCCCCTCTGACTGTTCTAACAATGTCATCCACATACCTGAGGAACAATTTCACCTGGGGAGTATCCTTCTCCTTGTTCTTAGCTCGGCAGCAGCTTTCACAGTACCAGACTATCTCGGTTATTGATGCGTATACGTCATCGGATATTTTTCCGCATTTTAGATGATACCAGTTTCGGCAACTCTCGCATTCAACCCCCTTTGATCTATATGTGACTTTCCTGCTGCAACATGGGCACAAGCCGTTTTTGTCATTAATTTGCTGTACCCCCGTTCCCACCGGTATTTGTTGTCGTAGAGCAAATTCGTATTCTTTCAGCCATAAGTTTGCCAGAATTACAGCGAGGGACGCTCCCATTGCTAAACCATCAATTTGTACATACCATGAATCATTACACTTGAAATATACTTTGCTGACCGCCATATTCAAAAGCCTTTTCATGGTTGCTCTTTGAATTTCAGGAGGAGACTCCTGGCTGTACAGCTTCTGTAAAGCAATTTCAATTGCCTCCTTCAGGGGAACGTTGGTGTACAAACTTTTCACATCAAGAGATATTATGGTTTCATCCGGATCTAGAGCAATGTTTTTTATTTTTTCTCTAGCCTCTTTAGTATTGGTTTCTATATTTGCTCCATCGATGTTGTCAAAAAACTTCGCAAGCATTTTGTTAAGATTCTCATACGAGCTGCCGGGAAGTGATAGTACAGGTCGTAGGGGTGTCTCATCCTTGTGTACCTTAGCTAAACCGTACAAACGGGCGGGTTGCCCCCCTGTTGATCGTATCTTAGAATATAACTGATCACTTCTCTCGTCTCTTTTGTTCATGGCTAGTAACTCTTTGTTAAGTTCTTTCTCAATTTTCAGTATCACCTCATCAGTGGTTGCATCTTTTTTCACAAACTGAGCAGATTGCAACAAGGATTCCAGCTTTGATTCATATGTTTGTTTCCTCATTATGCAAAAACCAACCCCCTTATCAAAAGGCACAGCCAGCAACCCATTTATCTTTGAGATATTTCCTCGTTTTTTCAACGGCTTTGTCTCTTGGGGTTTGCCGTACGTTTTTTGCATATGCCTTTGCCGCGGCTTCTATTTCACATAACGTTTCACCAGATGTTTTTTGATTTTTCAATTGTGAGAGGAAAATGTCGATATCCGCCAAAAAATGTGTTTCGTTAAATTTGTCTCTAATTGGATGCTTGGGGCCCATTGATAGCACTTCATATACCCATTCAGGCAGTTCAATATTATCAAGTACCCTAACTGATCGCTCATTTCTCCCCCCAAGAGGTTTTTCTTGTCTCTCGGACAGTTTTTCTAACTTTTTTCTATGGTTTTCTGATGTTGTCTTTAAGCTTGCCTCAACTTGCCGCCTCACGAATCGGAAAATGGATGCCCACCACTGTTTGTCAATTTCTTTTTGCACCAGTGATCTTGCTTTCCTTAGCATCTCCTCGTACCTTTTCCTATCCTCATTTGCCCTAGAAGTTTCAGTCCTTAGTAGTTTCAATTGAAAATTATGCACAGCTTGGTCCGAAAAAACCCCGTTCTCGGGGACCCTAAACTTCAAAAAGTCCGGTATTAGATCGTTTTTCAGACATTTTCTCAGAAACTTCAGTCTATGTACAGATACTTGAATTTTTTTAAAGAATTTTAAATAGTCTAACACAATTTTCCAAGTTAGTTTCCTTTTCAAAATTTGTCTGAGCCAAACAGCAGGCAAAAGTACTGTGGTCATTGTTTTGCAGGCCACGAGTAATGAAACTCACAAGGCACAAAGCAAAACAAATCACACTCTTCTCACCCCTGTCTTTGAAGCGCAGACACTTCCTCTGCCCTCAGCTTCTGCTCACGTCTTGCTTTCGCCTTCCTCCTTGTCTGTGATGGTTTCTGTTGTTTGCCCCTGATATTGCCAATCAGCTCTGACAGCCTTTCTTTGTGTGCCACTACCAATCGCAGAGATTTCAGCTCCAAATCAGCACTCTGGTGCAGCTTCAAATATTCCTTGAGCTGCTCCGGGTTGTTTTGCTTGCTCTTGGAGAGTAGTCGTTTTGTAGCTGGAATAATGAGCATCCCTGTGCCGAGAAGCTGACTAAACAAGTCGGGCGTTCCTTCCCTTCTGCAATAAACGATCGCCAATATCTGCTGCTTCTTCGTCTTCAAATAGTTTGTCAGTTCCTCGACACCAGCTGGGCGATAGTTGTTTGTTCTGTGGCTGCTTATGGTGTTGTTCACAACGTCGTGCCACACAACCACTTTTTTCTCCTTCAGTGGACTGTCTTCGAGTAGTCGTCGGAGGTTCTTTCCTTGGTTCAGCAAGTTGTTATTAAGGGATAGGCCAGGAATTGCTGTAACAAGGCTCTCGTATTGCTTTTTTTCCCCTGTGTTAAGGGTGTTGATGCTGTGGAACAGGGAGCTAGCTGCTACAATATGAAACATTTCGGTAACTCAAATAAAAATCGGCCATTTTTTACGTATCGATAAAAAAAACACTATAAAAATTCTCATTACATTGATGAAATTCATTAAAAATTTTTATACTGGCCCTTTAATGGGAAAACAGTTGGAATTTCAAGCTCTTCGCTTTTTGGTTTATCACGAATTTACAAGTAAAATTGAAGAAATTTTTGCTAAAAAGTAAATTTCAAACGTTTTCGCAACTATGTGCATCGTCAGGATTTTTACAATAAACTACTCTAAATGACGATAAAACATCACCGTCATTTTGTTTTACCGTCGTTTTTATTCAAAACGTACATGTCTAAATCGAAATTATGACTCAGAAACTTCCAGACAAATTAATTTTAAAATGTTTAATTAATTTTAGAGGTTAAAAGTATTTTAATCTTAATAGTATTTTAGAGGTCAACTGTGATTGGCTAATTTTTTATCATGATGGTTTAGAACCAAATTGTATGTGATTTATTGTAAATAACATTTGAAAATACAGAGTTGTTTTTCCAATTTAGTCTTCATAACTCCAGCGTTTCTGGGTCGCAGCGTATCCGCGGCATAATCCGTTCTGCGTGGTAGGAGATGATATAGCTGATGCAGATACCCGGTCTCGGTTATTTTGCGTAGCAAGGCCTGGTCAGATTTGCGGATAATTTCGCGAATAGGTTCATTTTCGTCAATAATACCAAAAAATCGTGCTTTGTTCTGAACTCGGTCTATTTGATCTAGTAAATATGAATAAGTACCACCCCAAACAGACGCGCAGTAAGATAGTCGAGATATCACTAAAGAATTATAAAGTAATTTAAGGTCTTCCGCTGTATAGTTCAGACGTTTGAGGCGCAACAAAAGATATAAACATGAGACTGACGCTTTGCAGATAGCAGTAATAGGCTCCTTGAACGACAGATTTTCGTCAAATATGACTCCGAGTATCTTTCGCGACGTCACACGTTCAACTCCAGGAATAGTTCTAGGTTGTTGACCTTTTTTAAACGATAACAGAACCTTTTTTGTTTTACCGTCATTTTACAGTCGTTTTGATTTTCTCTCATTTTCAGAAGTAGCGAAATTTCAAGGTCGTGACGTGTTTTTATTTTGGAACGAATTTTTAAAACTGACTATTCCTAATTTGCCTAAATGTCCAATTAGTACAGCGAATCCACTAAAACGGTCCATCTTCCCAGTACGATGTTATAATTAAATTCGATGCATTTTGGCGCCATTCTGGTTGAATGCCACATTTGTCCTCATACTCAACCTTATAAAACCACTCGTTACACCATGAAATTGATGCTTATGTGAGGGGGAGGGGGAGAAAGAGTCTTATTTGGAACGATTTAAGTGTTCTTTCAAACTTAGGTGCAGCCGTTGATTTTTTTCCAGATGAATATGAACCTGTGAAGTATGCCTGTGCGGAGAGGGTATGTCACCCCTCAGAATACATTTTTCGATACGATCATCCGAAAATCGGAATGTATGAGTAAGTCTTCTGTATTTAGGGAAGCTGCAATCTAAAATATTTGATCTGTTTCGCATTTAAATAATTGTAATGTTTTGAAATTATAGACAAGAATTTCCTTATTGCAAATGCCAGAACAGAACACAGTGGTATAATTTATTGCAATGATGGTTTCTGCGATTTGACCGGATTTTCAAGAGCAGAAGTTATGCAGAAATCATGTCGCGTGGAATTCCTTTATGGTCAAAATACGAACCCTCAAGTTGTGCAACAGCTGTGTACAGCTGTTGAAGAGCAAAAAGATATCGTGGTTGAGCTCCTGTTGTATAAGAAAGATGGTTAGTTGATACGGGTGAAACAGTATTCTTACTTAATGTAACAGTCGTCCGCTCATGTCACATATGAGGTTAGGAAAAATAGGTTGTATAACCAATGGCTCAAGGGTCAGGGACACTATCTCCTGTGCTTTTATACTTCATTCAGTGTTACAGCTTATGGCCACTACCCAAATACCCCCCCCCCCCCCCCCCACCACTCTAGAAATAAGATCGTTGAGTTCTCTATATACAAAAAACACGCGAACGCCATTAAAAACAGGACTGGAAGCTCAAGTATACCATTAGTTTTTTTTGGACAGTGGACCTTTGATCAATTTCAGATGGATCAATCTAAAACAGTCTTATCTCACCATAATCGTGTGAAATACACCCCAGAAATTAAATTCAGTACTCGCATAATGACGCGACTCTTGAATTAAGTAAATAATATAAGTAAAGCAACTAGAATTTTTTGGGAATGAGGAGTTTTGACCCAAGAAGTTTTGTCGTTTTGACCTTTAGGCAGCTTCACTCGTCCGCCTGCCCAATCAAGGTTCTCTCTTGCCCAGCGATGACACTCTCGATTGATTTATCGTTGTTCTCTGTCGGGAACAAGACAGCTCTACTCAGATTGATGATTTTAGTAAAATCGCGAATAGCTATTTTATTCCAGCACAATTTTTTATCGACTTTTCTGCAATTATATTTCGAGTCTTCTGACAAAATTAACCTCTGATTTTCAGTTTTCGCGACAAACTTGAGCATGACCTGGTCGATTCGAACTTTTGGAAAAATTACTTTCCCCAAAATCAAGGACAATCTTCCACATGTGACCGACTGGCACATACTCCCCGGACTCAAGATCGATGTCCTCATCGCGCGTCGTCTTCGTGTCAGCGAGTCTCCAGAATGTAGATTGCGTCTCAAATTACAGTGCAAGTGGTCATTTACAGAAGTTCGCAGCAGATTCAACCTTATCTACATCCCCAAATTTCACGACCATATAAAACTGTCATTCTATAGCTAAACAGCAATCAAAATCTTCATCCAACTGCACCTGGATTCGAGCTTCTTAAGCCAGTTTCTTAAAATTTCTTTTGTTCAACCCAATCAGAAAAATTTGTCATGCAATTTTTTTTCATATAATTGATGTATTAGATAACAATAATTAGTAGGTTGAAATATCTTTTTGTTCCCTCAGATTTCAGCTGATTCACACCGAAGTCCCAATTCCTTCTTCTACTCACGGCTCGATCCATATTACCCGACTCATTTCGTTCCTCCAGTCTTTGAAGTACTGGGTCCAGATGCGCTCGACACCGTGATCTGCCTCGTCAATTCTTCGTCATCAGAACTAATCACGATTTCCTCCCATGCCTTTAGTTGTTCTTAGGCCCACATCCATTCCTTTTGCTGTTGTAGTCTTTTCGGATGGTTTGGTAGCTTCTTTATCTTGGGCTCTCTGTTCACGCAAAAGGAGTGATGTAGGCTCAATCTCTGCATTTTTTCCTAGGTCTTCCTCCAGTATCAACTCCCTCGCTTTAGTGTTATCTGTAGATATCTTACCAACCCGCTTCCATCCCGTGGTTATTTCGTTGCGATGGGTAAGCAGTGGTCTCTTGAAAGCGTCCGGCCCTATTTTTGCCAGGAACTGACGATACTCCTTCTGATGTTTCTTCATGTGGTTTTTCGCCAAGCCGAGAAGTCAACGTCGCCCTAAACCCCGAGAAAAATCGTATGCGACTTCCATACACGTTTCACTCCCATCGGTACAGCTAATACCTTGCAAGTAGTCTCAAATAACTCAAGCCTCCTGCTAGAATCAATAGCGTGTATCGCCTCCACGGTTGGTGCTTCGACTCTCGATATTTTATCACGTTCTCTTCAATCCATCGCAGTGCCAGCATCGAGCTCACCACGAAGATGGTCACCTTTTGTTGATGATCTGGCAACCCTATCGCCCGAATCTCCTCAACCTCCCATATCCGGCCGAGGTTGGACTTCTCCGGATACCACACAGTCTGCGCTGAAAAATGGCATGGATTGTCTCCATGTGTCAAGTTGATGCCCCGGAGGTTACCGCTCGTACTCAGTTTTTCAAAGTCGGTAGAGTTCTCATTTTCCAAACACAAGAGTTCTTCTCCTCGGGTATCACTAAAGTATTCTACACTGGGCCCTGGTACCGCTACCCACATTTTCTTAAACAGCTGGTGTGAGTGATGCTACATTCTTGCCAGTCATACACACCTGGGTACCGAAAAGCCTTGTCAATCATCACCCTCTGGCTAAACCCCTCCACCATCGACATGTGTAACGGGTAATGGCTCCCGCAGAAGGTTGCCATGACCGATCCCACCAAAGATTTCGCCTTCATTGGCAGACAAAAGGCCTCACTCACCGGGAATGCCGTTTCTGCTTCCAAGCCGACTTTCCATCCCTTGATGTGTTTCTGAATCATTTGCAACAATCCAGGCCAGGACTGCACTCTCTACGCTCTGACTAAATGGTGTTCGGATTCTAGCTTCTCCAGTGTCTCCAGACTACACATCCTCGAGAAGAAACCTAGTGCCGTTGCCAACTTCACCGTGGTACTCGCGTAGCAATCAGCTAGTATCTGTTTCTCGCTTTTCTTTCGTCACCAAACCATGTGACCAAATCTCTCCTCTGAAACAACTGGATCCTCCCACTAGATCGCCCATCACAAGAGACTAGATCGCCCATCACAAGAGTGTCCTCCTGCTCCGGTTGCCAGATCGAGACAAGTGCCTGACTCCATCTTCTTTGGTGGTTCGTCTCTAGACTTCTCCACTTTCCCTTTACTCTTCGCGATGAGGCAAAATCAGCTTGTGTATCTTATTCAAGTTCCCCAGGTACTCATCTTTCCCTGGTACCAACCCTACTCGTACCGTGATCGCATTCAAATTTGCTTGAGAATATGGGCACGAAGATAGGTTCCAGAGTGTTCCCAGTTCGTGAACAGTACGTTAACCTCGCCTCCCAACCTCAACTCCACTCTTCATTCTAGTCGTGGCACGCAGATGACCTCGAGTCCGTTCCCGAGAAGTAAGCCTAGGCTCGGCTTTTCCCTTTCAGCTGTGTCGATTTCAATTAGCTTCCGTCCAAAGTTTTAACAACTCCATGACTTCAAAATCATATGGGCAGCTCCTGCCTCCGTGCTCAATAAGGGATTGTATGACATTCTCATGACATCATGACTGCTATTGAATTTCTTGTTTGAGAACCTCCTGATTTCGTCAATCTTCGCATGGTCTTCAAGAGATTGCCTGGAATCATCGTCCTTCTCAATCCCGGCATTTTGATACACATAACGCTTGAGACCCTGTTCCCCAACGCCCTAACCTACGTCGCTTTCTGGTAGCAAGCTTGGATTACCGCGTCAGGTATCACTGGTATGATCCAAATCAAGAAACAGGTGGCGTCCTTTCCTCGCAAGACTCAACCCTGAGACATCTCAAGCGACATGTTGCATCAACATTCGATATACATGTAGGCCTTTTTCACCCAACTTCAGTTTGTGACATGAGGTCAGATCTTCCAATGCCACCCCAACCAGGCACAACGTAAAAAACAGCTGAACCTCCGTCCTGGTGAAAGGGTTCGCCATCAGAGGCTGTGCTGATGAATGTGCTCTCATCTCATTCTCGAAGTATTCCAACAGTAATTTCTCCCACGTTCGCCCTAATTGGCTCCTCAGTTCTAGTTTATTCACTTCTGCCTTCTGCTGCGTGGCCGAACTTCGGCGCTTTCTGGACACTCCGCGATCCAGCTTCTTTAGACAGGGCTCTAGTTCTTTCATCGTATCCAAAGCTATCCACCAGTAGTGAGCAGTATTCCTCGTGAGTCCTTTCTCCAGGGGATCATTCGTGATTTTTCCTCCAACGCACTGGTGATGATTCGAGACCCAGTCCTTGCCGACATCCACCTCCCATGTTTGCCCACTGTTGGAACCTCTCTTTGTCTTAACCATATGAGGCTCAAAGTCTTCTTTGTCACCGGACCAGGTGCAGTTTCCATGTCAGCAATCACTTCCGCCAATATCCTAGATGTCGTGTTGTCTTTGTAAGATGCAGTCTTTCATCTGGCCAAAACCATCGGAGCCGTCTCTTTCATGTTTGCCTCCGATACCGCCTCCGTTGAAGGACCCGCTTCGTTTTTCTTGACTTCCGACTTTTTGTTCGGGGGTTTAGACACGATCATCACCGAAGGTGCCTCCGTCTCTTGCCTCCACCATTCTCTTGTCTCAAGCACCTCCTTTCCCCCTTTAGCCTTAATACTAAAAATATTTTTCGCTATAATAACAGGGGTATCCCTATTACTCATTTTGTTCTTATCTTTTTTAATTTCATTTTTCTTTTTTAGAGTAGAGCTGTCTTTACAGGATCTGGGTTCAGTATTCGGCCTCGTTTTCCGGATATGAATCATCTTGCTAAGCAACTCTTTTCTTGCATCTTTGTCTAGTCCAGTTCCCATCGAGATAGGCTCTCTGAACTACACCACAATGTTCCACGGTTCCGCTTTAAACTCTTTGACATCTACATCCCGCTCCACCTTCTGAAACTCCATCAAGAACTTTTGCCATTCTTCGTGATCCAGAGTATTCCAGAACATCGTTTTACTCCCCTCAAAGATAATTTTCTCCTTTCTATCACTGCTCCAGAATAACATGCGCATGTCCACTGCCTTTTTTCCAAGTTGTAACTAGATTTTTTTTGGGTAAATCCCAAAGGTGGTGTCGTTGAATCTACCCACTATTTACCACTCAAGTCTGGGAGCAATTCGTGCGTCGTGCAGGACTGTAATTCCCAGGCACTTTTTCTTCAGCTGGGGCCGCCCCGATGTCCATGTCCTCCTCTACCGCTCCACCTTCTGATTGAACTCCATCAAGAACTTTTGCCATTCTTCGTAATCCAGAGTATTCCAGAACATCGTTTTATTCCCCTCAAAGGTATTTTTCTCCTTGCTATCACTGCTCAAGAATACCATGTCCACTGCCTTTTTCC